AATCGATTTACCTTGTCGATCGTGAGTTCGTTGTTCATCATCGTTGGCGGCGTGGAGTCGCGGGTAAATTCCAGAAACCCAAAACGACCGGACACTCTCAAATCCTTCGTGCCAAATGCCAACTGCCAACGTGCACTGCACGTTGCTGAGAACCTGCCAATCAACCACGATGGAGTGCGCATGCCAAGCCCACTGGTCGTATTATACCGCGTGTTTCGTAATACATATTTCTTTTTTTATCGAGCCATTTAATTTTATTTTAGCAAGTTATTACCTTGACAGAACTATTATTCTTAAAAGATACGTTTAATCAAAAAGATCTTACGTGAGATCTTTTAAATAAAACTCGCAAAACACTTTAATAAATTTGTGAACTGATTAATACGAAAGAAGTAACAATCCAAGCAGAACAAGTCATTATGATATCAAAATGATGTCAAAATAATTCTAAAATGATTATTAAAAGTCATTTTTCAATCATTTCCGATTTATTTTAATGTCATTTTGACGTTATCGTGACTTGTTGTTCTATTTGAGAATTATTCTATAAATTTCCTTCAATAATATAAGTTCATTTTGTTATAAATTTCCATCGAAGCATCTAATGCGTGTATCGATGAAAATGTATTTAACTGCTTTAATCCATAAAGTCTTTATTTTCTAATGGAAACAGCACATTGATCTGAATTGAGGATTTCAGTGGAAACTTACAATAGACCATTGTCAATAAAATTGACAATAATAAAATTAAACATGCCAAATTAATTTATTCGATAAATATATATAAATACGTTTACATTTATCTCGTTATATTTTTAATATGTATTTTGTATATGTAATAGTTACTGGATCAATTGTGATTACAATTTTCGTAAAAAAAGATTTTTTAGATATTTCAGCAAACAAGTTGACGTCAAAATTGATGTTTAATATCATTTTAATATCAAAATAATATCAGCTTATTTGCTGGGACATATAGTTTATATGTATATAATTATATGAAAGATAGACAATTTCCGCTACATACATATTTTAAGTATTTTATTATTTTAATTATTGTAATTAATAATAACAATATGTAAAAAAATTTCAATAAATGTCGTTAATAAAATTTTGAATATAGGGATTTTTAACATATTATTATTAACTTCTTGTAAATGAAATATCAATAATAATTACTTTTTAAAAATACAATAATACAATGCAGTACTATAATAATAAATTTAATGTATTAATGCATTAATTAAAAAAAAGATTATTTTGAAAAATATAATATACTTTAAAAATGTTATGGCGGGGTTTTTTTAACATGTATACATGTGTACTATTACATATATGTATATAGATATTAAGTTGAAAACATATATTTTTTAAAATATATTTGCGCATATATACAGGTGAGTATATATATACATAATATAATATTATAAAACTGTATAATATAATACTGCATTAATTACTTAATATATGCGTGTATGTTTTATAAAAAGTGACATATCATATAATAAGCTATACATTCAGATTGTTATATTTATTTTCTATAAAATGAACTGAATACAGAATTTAGAATAGATTAGAAAAATTGAGAGAATAAAAAGTCGTAATAAACTAACACAAATATAAGAGCGAAAAAATAATAGTTTATTCCTATATTATATACATTAATTAGTAAATGTTTTGACCAAACGAAATTATTAACTTTTCTGTTATTATGGTAGCGTTCAACTAAAAATATTTCTGAAATATGGGTATAAATACGTATCTTCATTGTGTCTGCTTAATGTATCATTTAGAGCTGGTTGTACCATCTTTTGGTAAATTTTACCTGTTGGGTAAGTAGCAAGATTACTCAATCATATGTGCAGATTACTAGATTTACCTTACAGGTAAAATTTACCAAAAGGTGGAACAATCGGCCCTTAGAAGAAGTTTTCGCTACTCAAGCAGCGACTGCTAAATCAGACGATTCATGTATCCATTTTACTTCAATATTGAAACTTGATAATTTATACAGCGATTTCAAGATTCTTGTTAAAATATATACCTTCCAGACCATACCTTGCAACCAAAGTATTATTTTTTTGTCTTCTCTCCTCGATACAAAACAAAAAAATTCAAATTATAACATTACAGATAGTCTAACGGTTTGGACTCTAACCGGTTTAACGCACAAACGTGAAACATAATGTATGTCACAAAAAGAATTTATTTTCAAAGCTAATAGTACGTAAGTCGTCAAAAGTGTGTATGTGATGTAGTATCAATCCCAGTAAACGAGAATGGATTGAAATTTTTTTCTATCCGAATACGCGAATGCGTATTTTAAGTAGCGAATACTTTTTTTTTTATTTAATTGGATTCAATTGGATTGAAAAACTGTATTTTCTATTCAAAATTTTGAATTAAATAATATTAGCAATGTTAAGAAAAAGCTAATATTATTTTTAGATTGAAAGGCATAGAGATATGCTCCATGTAATTTCTATGAATGAATAAAAATAAATTCAGGATTAAAAAGCATTTTAGTATGTATTTATTTTAACATTCGTGAATCAATATTTCTAAAAATCTCAATCTATTTCAATTCATTTCAATCCATTCTCGTTTACTGGGGTGTTGGCCTCATAATAATTAAGACCGACTGAACGTAAACAATTAAGGCTACAATTAAAGCTAAAATTTAATGTTAGGATAAAACGAAACTGATAGATTCTTTTTGTAGCATTGTCCCTATTACGGAAAAAAGATCAAGAGAGTCAAAACGTTTGCAAATTGATGTACACATATGATACAAAAATAAATTTTTTATTATTTTTGTGCATTTATGTCTACGTTGGTTAATTACGATTTTTATTCTCTTATATTTTGTAATCATTAGCTGATTTTTTTCAACGCATTAATTATTTTAGAGTTATCGTTAGTCTCGGAACGACAATTGGCTAGATTTATGAAATACTGACGATCCACGAGTTTAAATGGCTTCATTAATTTTATAATATATTCAGTATTATAATATTGTACGAGATGTAGCCAGAAAGAATCCATCTCTGTTGAAACGAACAATATTAACTGTTTTGTAACTGCCTCGAAATTCATTTTTTTTGATTCTGCAATTATACATAAATAAATATATATATGTATATATGTAAGTGCGCGCGCGCGCGCGTGTGTGTGTGTATAGTTAAAAATTAGAAACATGTTACTGTATCAATTATCTGATGAATTCTATACCTGCACGAAGATTCAACGTTATTTTCGTCATAATGCGATTTATTAACAGGGGAATATAAAAGTGATAATGAGTAATATATATCAATAGGCATAGACACTTGAAAATCACATGAAGATCTTGTTTTATTTCACGTCCTACAAATGAAAAACCTTCCTCCTGATATGGATGCAATATGACAGCTAGAATTTTCATAAATAAGTATTTTTCTTTTTCCTCATTCCTTCTAAATGTATCACATAAATGTGATTTTACATTCGCTATTATTGCTAGCCAATTGTAGAGGTACAACTCTAAATTTATTGGAGAATTAAATTTTTTCTTTGCTACTAATACTTGTGCGGAAGATATCATCAGTGTGGGAATTAATTCAGGTATTTTAAATAGTTCTTCCAGAAGAGTGCATTGATTCGGTAATTTTATCTTACTCATGTCTCTAATCAATTCAATCACTGTTATCGTTAGTTTTTCTACAATCAAAATTTAATAAATTATTCGCTGATCAAATTTGATTCTTTTATGATTTTAATATATTACAAAAATTAAAATTTATTACTCAATAAATAGGAAATAGAAAATAATAACCATAACTCGTCGAAGCTAAAGAATTATTTAAGCATTAAAAGATTCAGCTTTGACTGTTATGGCCATTATTTCCTATTTCCTATTTGTTGAGTTTTCAAATGTACAATCCAATAAAATTCTTTATTGTTTAAAATTTATTATTATTGAATAAATCAATGTACCATGACAGTGCCTCCTGAGTATGGCACTTATATCGTGTGCGAATAATCCATATTCCTTAAAGTGGAATAACCAACGTGATTCAAAATGTTTTATGTTGATATTGTGCACTGCTAATTGTAAAATTTTCAGAAGGTTGTTTAATACTAAATTATCAGTAGATTTTAATTGATTTAGAATTAACATAGCAAACTCGTTGAAATTGCCTATGTAGTTTATAGTTCGCTTAAACATATTGCTTATTTTGAGAATTATATCAAAACATATTTCCTAAAAGCATATTTTAATGACTTTGTTAACCCAGCAAACGAGAATGGATTAAAATGAATTAAAATTTTTTTCTATCTCCGAATGCGTATTTTATAATAGTATTTTATAAATAGCGAATACTTTTTTAGATTTAATTGGATTCAATTGGATTCAATTAGATTCAATTGGATTGAAAAACTGCATTTCCTATTCAAAATTTTTAATTGAAGTATTCGCAATGAAAAAGCTAATATTATTTTTAGATTGAAAGGCATAGAGATATACTTCATACAATTCCTATAAATGAATAAAAATGCATTCAGGATTGAAAAGCATTCATTTTAGCATTCATGAATCAATATTTCTGAAAATCTGAATCCATTTCAATTCAATTTAATCCATTCTCGTTTGCTGGGAAAGTAATTACGTAAAACTTGCTCACGAAATAATTGTTACTATAAAGTATTATGCAATAAAAGTAAATATATCATACCATAAGTTCTGATTTATTTTGCACTAGCTCCATTATTTTTTGTAACATATGATGTTTTATAAGATAACTTGCTATAGTCTTATCATGGCTATTGATTAATATCTGATGAAGTCCATACTTTATCATATATGGATTTTTGTTTGTCTGAAATCAATTGAACCGCATACAAAGAACTTTCAAAAAGAAATGTATTGTACACAGAATTCTCCTGCTTTGATATTATCTTTTGATGTTATTGAAAATTATAGAATTGCTTGAAATTTTTAATAACAATTTAACAATTATCAATAAAATTAAAAATATTAAACAATTATTCCGAGCAATGTTTAGCATTTTTAAACATATAACGGATTTTAATCAATTTGAATTAATGACGTTGAATGTTTTTACTATCCCAAGCAAAACAACAAGTCAATGTGATACCAAAATGATGTCCAAATAACTCCAAAATGATCGTTAAAAATCATTTTTTAATCATTTCCGATTCATTTTGACGTTTTCATGACTTGTTGTTCTGCTTGGGATGTAACATCAATCAATAGTAGAAGATGTGACATGCCGATTCAAACCCACTAGATCGGAAACGCTATTCATTATTTATATTAATACCTTAATTAAGTCGTATACGTCATGGACATACTTCAATAAGTTCTCATCATAGAGTTCGTCAAAAGGGGTTAGAATTTTTACTTTATCGTTTTCAACACATAATAGAACGAAAGGCTCTGCGGTAGTTTCAACTTCATCTTTAATATTTTTTCTTTTATGCGAATCATCTTTAGATTTTTCATTCTCTGTTACAGCAAAATTCTTACAGTAGTAGTCTGAAAAAATTTCATATCCAAATTTTTACTATAATACAAAAATTTATGCTCGGATCTTTTTGCTCAACAATAAAGTTAATAATTTGACATTCGCAACGTTTGCAACAAAGATTCAAAATTATTTTATAATTTTATTTTTCAATATACTAATGATGTCCTTTATGTAGTTACTTAGTATGTTTTCTTCGTTTTGCTTGATTTCATTGTCACTCATTTCAATATTTTTCTTAGAATTCTCGCTCAAATTTGAATTAATCGCATTATTCGATGTTTTTATATTTGGGAAAAAAACATCTAGGAGAGATAGCATCATCTGATGTATAGCATTATCGATGCTATCATCCAAATCTTCATGCTGGATAGATGCTAAAACAAAAAATTTTTTCTGGCGAATAATTGAACGGACTAAATAAACTCGTAAAAATCATTTCAGCAAACGCGATCGAGAGAATTAGCAATGAAGATTTTTAATCTTGTAAGTGCTTCTACCATAATTCGCAAATCGCAAAACGTAGTTTGTAAATGCTGATGCAAAATGCTGATGCAAATGATCATCACCGCACGTAAGATTCACACAGTGAAAAAAACAAATGCAAATTTTCATTCTGCATTTGCGAACTACGTCTTGCAATTTGCAAATTATTATGATTGACGATTTTGTTTCTTACCTGGAAGTTCAGATATTGACGAAAGGACATCTTTTAAATCCATGATTTATCGAAATCAAATCGCTGTAACACCAAAGTCAACAGTTCAAAGAATATTGTTGTTATGACATTTAAGAACATACATCCGTAATAATAATAAACACATTGCTGGAAACTAAGACTCACGATACTTGATGTTTAATCCGTTTTTAATATATTTTACAAAAGATAATCTAATTTTAATATTGAGAATACATCTTTGGAACATCGGATTCATCTTAATAAATATATATTATATGCTTATCCCGATTTCTGCTACATTCTCTCCATCTTAAGAAAAAGTTTTAAAGGCTTTCTCGACCAAACTCCGATTAATTTAATTGACGATTAACTTGTGAATTTAATTTAATTTGTATTTTGTTGACATAAACAGAATGATTAAAGTTTTATACTTACAGTTAGAAAGCATGTTTTAAACAATTCTGATAATTAAATTGCTTATAATAATTATTAATTAGAATTTGATCAAAATCATCTCTATCATGTTCTGTGGTTTCTATTGTATCGCCTGTGTTTTTAAAAGAATTTCTAATGATCGTCTATTGAAGAAATTGACCGAACGACATATGTTGCAAAATAATAACAGTAACTTTATTATTCATGATAAGATTTAGTTTCGCCAAGTCAGTTATAAAGGAGCATAAAGAAATAAAAAAGAAAAAAAGAAATGTCTAAATCAAGCCTGTCCAATTTGAGCTCCGGAGCCAAAACGCAAAGCCATTGATGTAAAAAAATGCAATGCGAGTAAGATTTTAGGAACTGTAAACTGTTGATAAGCGTCACTTAGGCTACGTTCCAAAATTTCCTCTCTGAGGAAAATTTTACTCAAAATATATAGAATACGTAACGTATACTATAGCATATAGAGTAAAATCTTCCTCGGAGAGGAACGTAGCCTTAAATGCGTATTAACACTTTAGTCTCCTTAATCTAGAAATCTTTTGAATTTTTTTGCGTCGATGACTTTGCGTTTTGGCTCAAATTAGACAGATATAAATAGTGAGGTTGCAATTGTATCTGCAGCAAAAAAAAAAATAATTATCTGACAAATTTCTGATTAAATAATTTTTAATTTTAGGAGAACAACGCGGAAGATTTTACGTCGGAATGAAATTCAAAATTTAAAGTATGATATTTACATTCTCTCGAGTCGACTATGTATTAAAAGAGAAAGAAGAAAAAGAAGGACGATCAAATGCTTCAGTAAGACTTTCATTTCTTTTATCAGGTTTTAATTTATTTTATATTTTTGTAATTCTTAGAACTAATTTGCCTTCGACATTTTCTATTTTAATTATGTTAGTTACAGTCCCCTAAAGCAATGAATATATCGTAATGCAATTGACCGATAAGAATAGAAATATGTATCTACACTTCGAAGCTTTAGAAATTGCTTAATAATCAATATAGATAAATCAGATTAAAGTTAAAGTACATCGGTTGAAATGGATATAACAGAAGAGATTATGCAATCACGTTTGAGGATGTTTTATCAATTTTAAATATGCGAATACCATTGAGTAATTTTTGGTTTCAAACGGAAATGTACACAATATCAGCGTAATTAAATAAGAAAAACGATAAGGATAATATTAATAAGTACCTCTTTGATCAAAATGATCGGATTTAAGATTTTTCTTTCGTCTTTCGTCCGTAATAAAATTACACTGTAGATTATTTGCGTTGTCTCGAGTCAATAACGTGTATCACGAGTTCGGGTTTGATTCTAGCGCTACACCACTTCAATTCCGCAACTCTCATCGTTCCTTTCCCCTTCAGCAACGGATTTCCTTAAATTTTGAAACCAGTATTCCAAACATCAATTCTGTATCCGATTTTTCACTTTTCCATTAAAAAAAATGTGAAAAGTCAAAACTTTTACCATTAAAGTTTATGGAAAAAATTTAACCTTTGACCTAAAGAAAAGGGAATAGATGCACAACTTTTATAATAAATATCTTTTATTGACTGCGTCCAGCAGAGAAAGCTGCTTTGCAACTGTTGTAAAATTCTTGAATATGATTGGTCTTGCCCTTAATTTCTTATTGGATCTAAATGTATAAACCAGCCATTCCAGGAAGTTTATGTGAACGAGTGTAATATTATTTACTGAAAATGAAAATAAACAAAATATTTATTATTCACAAAGATAATTAAATGAGTGGAAAACAATTCCACAATTAGGCAAGAATTGCAAAGAGAAAAAGAATTACAGATAAAGAAGATTAATTAATACAAAAAAATTAATTAATACTTAAAGTTTATAAAAATGCTTATTGGAACTTCATAATTTTTTATATATTATACATTTTCAACATTTTGATTGATTATCTCATTCTGTTATGATTTTTCTGTTATGTTTTTTCTACATGGAAACCTTAAGATTTCTGAAAATCCGCCCTTAATGAGCATCAGGGCATCCAATATATTCCTCCAAGAAGGCATGGAAGAAAACTTAAAGTTCCTAAAGTTTGTTCTTCTTTTTCCATACCCCAAGACTGAATTCCTTGCACAATTAATCTTTCTTCTTTCTCTTTTCACATTGGAGTGAGAAAAAGACACAAAAAGAATCGCGCAAGAAGTGCAGTTCTAGGGTGTGGAAAAAGAACAAGTTTCTATTTTACAATATATTGTTTGAAAACCTGGTTCGCGTCGGCAATGAGGAAAAAGTAAATATGCGTATACTTGTGCAATGACAACATAGTGATAAATTATAAATTACAAGCATCACATTTTCTCGATTTTCTTCTCGAAAGTTGCTCCGAGAGACAATACGCACATGTTGGTATATATAGCCGACGGTGCACGCACGCGCACCTAACTTCTCGCGCAATGACGTCAGCGGCAAAGTTCGTACGGAAAAGGCAGGGTGGGAGAGAAGATATTGGACGGTCATCGGCGATGGCGGCAGTGACCGAGGGCGGCCGAGGTGGGCCGAGGAGTGGCCCGCGAAGCGGGGACTGGGAAGAAGAGGGGTGCGCGGAGTCGTACACGTGTGCGCGGGCGCGAGCGCGCGCAAGTGTGTGTGACTCCATTGGCGCGGTTGTGGCGGTGCGGTTGGTTGTTGGTGCATGCTGGTGTGCGGTGCTGCTGCTGCTGCTGCTGCTGTTGGTGGTGCGGACCGTGGAGTGGCCGGAGCGGTCTGGTCCGGAGTGTGTCAGTCGGTTGGTGAATCCTGTCGGCGTTGCTCGGTAAACGTTGCGGGTGTATGACACTGCGGCAGCGGCGGCAAGCCGATAGCGAGCCGATAGCACAAGCCGTGAATCAGATCGGTAGCCGACGAGGAACAGAGGGTGCGGTGTCGTCTTGCTGCTCCATTTCATCGTCGACGGTGGCGAGTCTGTTGATTGAACACTACTGGTCCATGTGCTCTGCTGACTAAAATGCTCATCAAGGAATTGTAAGTGCAGCACGGGATGGAGAGGGGGAGGAAAAGGATGGCAACGGCGATGATGACGAGGATCGTATGGAGCGGGGGCTGCAGGTGCGCGCCGCGCGGCACGGATTTCCGAAATTCGCTCCTCGCCATGGCCAACGGAGGCCAGCACAAGCGAAATTTAAAACCGATTGACATGGGTCACGATGACTGGTGATCTTAACGCGGTTGGAGAATTAGGGAAAAGAGGGAAAGAGAGTTGCAGAAAAAGAGATAGAGCGAGAGGGATGGTGGCCCTTTCATCCCTTATGAATCATCCCGCATGATTCTAGAGGTTGCACTTTCTGCACCTCTCTCTCTC